TAAGAAGAGAAAAAGTTAAGAACAGAAGGGACAAACTTGATCTTGGAGACTAACTTTACAGGGTAATCAAACTTAAAGAGCTCAGAGGACCCCCCTCTAGCCTTAGGTTCCAAGTACAACAAACAGAGATAAACACTCTAGCAAAAGGTACATTTACAAGTTGAGAAAACAAAGATAAACTAACACGCCTTGTCTGGCTGTTTACTTACAAGTTTGAAATATGAGAGACTTGTTCAGAAAGATTTGGAGAACCTGGATTGATGTCAGATTGTACAAACAGAAGTGCTGGGCTATCTTGATTATCACTTCAAAAAAAAATTTCTCTTAATTGGTCTTTCAGAGTAGGTAAGACAATGCCCACCTTTTCATGCTGTGTGTGTCTCCTCAATATATGTTCCATTCTATGCATCCGAAGAAGTGGGCTGTAGCCCACGAAAGCTTATGCTCAAATTCGTTAGTCTTTAAAGTCTCAAAGTTAACTAGGAAGGCAATGTATAAGATAAAAATGCTGATTGGCTCAGATTTCATTGAAGTTAGAGATGAGAAAACAGTTTGGTCACTGAGTGCGTGCCTATGCCAGAGCATGAATGCTCCCATTGGCACATGACCTAATGTTTTGTCACTCTTGGTATGTCTATACTGCAATAAAATACCCGTGGCTGGCCTGTCAGCTGACTCAGGCTGAAGGGCTATAAAATAGCAGTATAGACAGCCCAAGGCCCAATTTGTTTACACTGTAATTCTATAGCATTGCAGCCTGAGCCCAAGTCAGCTGACCCAGGCCAGCTGTGGGTGTTTTATTCTAGTGTAGACACCCCCTTTGGGGCTAAGTATCTCAGTTGATGGGCTTGTATTACTACCCATAGGCTATTCCCCGTCCCCATTCACTTCACTCCTGTCCCTGATATTTATCATAAATTTTCCTTTTTTTTCTTCATTTCATTCCCTTTCTCTTGTATTACTCTCCTCTTCCACCTTAGTATTTACACTACTGAAATAGTGATAGACTCTTTTATCCTGTGCCTTGCACACACCTCATGGTAGATGCTTTGCTAGGCTACAGATATTTAGCCTCTTTTAATCTTTCTTTCATCAGTCTCTATAGCCCCTTAATTTTTGTTGCTGTGTTTCATATTCTTTCCAGTTTCTAGGTTTTGGTTGTTTTTTTTGTTTTTTTTTTTCTGGTAACCAGGTGCCAGGTGTGCTCAAATAGGAGAGGCATAAAAACCTGATTAGGTGGACTGAGCACAGTATTCCATCCCCACCAGAGCTGTGTACAGAGACTGTTGCTTCACTCGTTTTTGATGTGCTGTCTGAGTATTCAGTCCAAAACTTCATTGTCTTTTCCTGTTGCTATACCTTCATGTAAAGTCGTATATAATATGCTGTCCATTATCTCTGCTAGGTCACTTTTAGCATTGCTGTCTCTTCTGGGGTGTATCAACACTTGGAGCTGGGGTGTGATTTCCAGCTCGCGGAGACATACATGTGCTAGCTCTAATTAACTAGTGTGCTAAAAGTAGTGTCCCAAGCAGTGGGAGGGGCTAGGTACTCAGACAACATGCCTAGAGTATCTGATTGGCATGTATTCAGGGTGGCTAGCCCCTTCTGCAGCTTTCCCTGCCATAGTCACGCTCTATATTTAGCTTGCTAGCTCAATTAGAGCTAGTGTAAGTGTGTTTCCTCGAGCTGGGAATTACTCCCCCACCTCCAATCGTAGACATACCTTAGGTATCTCCCTTCCATTAAATGTTGTTTGGGATTTAGATAAGGCCTTCTGTTTTTTAGAGACTTGTTCTAGAAGTGAAATACTTTCAAAACTTGCAACAAAATGGAACCTTTCTTGTTAGATACAAAATATCATCTGATTTTGGGGGGGGCAAATTATGGCTAAAAGGTAAATCTTGCTGGACAGCTGAGGATGGTATTTACATAGGGATCAGAAACAAAAGCCTTGGCGACCCAGGAAATGCAGTCAAAATTAAGAGCAGTTGAGAAGGTCTGTAAAGAACTTGAGACTGCTTAGTACTGAAGTGAGACCCTGATCAGTGGAATCAAACAGCATTTGCTGTGCTACGAAGGAATATTAAAGCTTGATGGGCAAACCAGATTGGATAAAGTAACTGGCCCAAAACTAAGGCTAAAAGCTTGCAAAATTCAAATCTTATTTGAGGTTCAAAGATGATGTTTGCATACCGCTCTACCTCCTGGTTTCAGCCAAGGAAGGGAATAGAAATACCATAGGGGCTATTCACACAGTATTTCTTTCATAGTAAATCTAAGATATACTGGAAATTTATTTGGGACTTCTGTTTTGGGAGAGGCTCACGTAAGCATCCAAATATTGTTTAATCTGAACTTTTCAGGGGGTTGCCCATCACTGTTAGTGAAACAAAAGATAAACAAGTTAATATGTATGTGCTGTGACCTGTGGAGAATGTATCCACAACCATGCAAACATCTATGGGTGGAATAAATCCCTGTGACAATGAGTCTTCTCTTTCTCAGCTGATATGTCATGTTCTTTTTTCAGAATTCTAGGTAATCGGGTGGCAGAATTAGAGAAGAAGCTGAGAACTTTGGAAATTTCTGGTTTGTGGAGTCTTCCAGGTTAGTAGAAATTCAGAAAAACATAAGAATGGCCATTCTGGGTCAGACCAATGGTCCCTTTAGCCCAGTGTCGTGTCTTCCTTCAGTGGTCAATGTCAGATCCTTCAGAGGGAATGAACAGAAACTGGCGATTGAGTGATCCATTCCCGGTTGTCCAGTCCCAACTTCTGGCAGTCAGAGGGCTGGGGATACCCAGAGCATGGGGTTGCCCCTGACAGGGCCGGCTTTAGCATGTGCGGGGCCCCATGCCGGGATGCGAATAGCAAATCCCCATTGGATCCCTCCCCAAATCCCCGCCCTGGCCCCGCCTCTTCCCCAGCACATCGCATTCCTCCTCACCCGTCCCTCCCAGGCTTGCGCTGATCAGCTGTATGGCGGCGCAAGTGGTTTTTCCCGCTCCGCCGGCAGCCCCGGACGTTGCGGGGCCCTCTTAGGTGCAGGGCCCCATTCCAGGGGAATAGGCCAAATCGGCTTGAAGCCGGCCCTGATCCCTGACCATCTTGACTAATAGCCATTGATGGACCTAACCTCCATGAACTTATCTAATTCTTTTTTTGAACCCATCTCCTGTCAATGAGTTCCGCAAGTTAACTGTGTGTTGTGTGAAGAAGTACTTCCTTTTGTTGATTTTTAAACCTGCTACCTATTGATTTCATTGAGTTACCCTTGCTTCTTCTGTTATGTGAAAGGGGTAAATAACTTTCTTATTTACTTTCTCCATGCCATCTGTGATTTTTATAGACTTCTATCATACCTCATAGTAGCCTCTTTTCTAAGCTGACCAGTCCCAGTCTTTTTAATCTTTCCTCTGGAAAGCTGTTCCATCCCCCAAATCATATTTGTTGCCTTTCTCTGTACTTTTTTTCAGTTCTAATATAGCTCTTTAGAGCTGGGGCAACCAGAACTCTATGCAGTATTCAAGGTGTGGGTGTACCATGGATTTATATACATGCATCGATATTTTCTGTCTTATCTATCCCTTTTCTAATGGTTCCAAACATTTGGTGACCCTTTTCTTTTTTTGCCTGCCACTGAACATTGAGCAGGTGTTTTCAGAGAACTGTGCGTGATGACTCCAAGATCTTTTTTTTTTTTTTTTGAGTGATATCAATTTAGACTCTATCATTTTGTATGTATAGTTGGGATTGTTTTCCAATGTGCATTACTTTGCATTTATCAGTGTTGAATTTTATCTGCCATTTTATTGGCCCATCACCCAGTTTTGTGAGATCCCTTGCATTAAGTGTTTGGGTGTCTGTTTCCATATTAGGATTTCAATGTACAATTTTTGTGAGAAACTTGTGAAAAATATAGCCAAGTTTCAGTGGCTAGTGGTTTTGAAAAGATGGATGTTCAACACTTTTTGGGAAAATCCAGCTTAAGGTGTGTCAAGTTGGAAACCCAAAATCACTAGTCACTTGTGAAAATGCTGGTTTTACACACATTTTAAATCCACATATAGTAGATAGCAGAAAAAATACCCTTTGGCGAATGCAAGGAACAATCGAACTATCACTATGGGTTGTAGCTGAAAAATATTAACGATCTGATTTAAATGTTAGTATAAAATCATACAACTTAAGATATTAGAGCCAGGTTTTTTTCAACATGTTTTATTTATTAATTTTAGTTAAATGTGCATTGTTCGGATTACATTCATTTTTGGTTATTTTTCTCTCATTACACCTAATTGTTTCTCCTTTAATCATCGTTCTCCTTGATGTTCACACACTAGGTTATGTTTGTGGTAACAATTTTCCACTGCTGCTACCATTGAGGTACCTACACTAGTGTAGACAAGGTTCCAGATGTTCTAACCTATATCATTTAGGTCTAAGCTCACCAAAAAACAGCTAATATTTAGCAATGTATCTGAAGAGTCCTAGTGACAAATCTCTCCAGTTCCAGTCCTGATGTTAGTTTTAACGCAAATCCTCTTGATGCAAGATGCAGATAAAATAATTCTTGAGTCACACTAATATAGGTTTACATTCTAATTGAAATTTAATGGGTATTTAACATATTGTTATTCTACTTTGTTTAAAAAATGTTGTTCAGTGAAATTCATAGTTAATAAAATGCAATGTTTGGTCTTTGCAGAAATGTATAAAAAATAAATAAAAAATAGAATAAATGGAATGCTGAGAGCTTGCTCCATTGTTAGTCTAGTTAGGTAAGACATCCAATTAATATTAATACAATAACTGTCTCTTTTCTTCCTTTCTTTTGCTGCCTGAAGGCCTGAGCTACAATGTCTCAGTGGGATTTGGGAGTAGGTTCTACTTGACATGTATATTTTTAGTAACTAATTTTCGCAGTACGTTAAACATTGTCACAGCATGTAAATAAATGGAAATGTTATCTGAACATTTTTATGTTTGTCAGATTAAGATGTTCAAGTGAGTGAGTTAGATGTCCACAAGGGAAATAGAGACTACTGCACAAGACAGTTTTTTTAAATTGGGGAAAATGATAATAAAGGATGATGCTCAATAGTTGTAACTGAATTTTACACTAGATTGCGACTTGCATCAAACAGTGAGGTTTATTTCTTCGTTTAACCAGAGAAGCAGTAAATTAAGAATGCACTTTTGTTTCCAAGTGTGATCGAGCTCAGAGATACCAAATATGAGTCTTGTGACACCCAGTGGGATCACGAAAACTTTTTCAGATGGTTACAAACTGGCCTCTGCTCTGTAAAATACCATCTCCTATCAGTACTGTGAGAACTATCATAAGAATGTTGGCTTGAGTGAAGGGTGAGAGCACCTGCTCTGATTGATGCTAGAAGAAAGATTTTCAGAAGAAAACAGCACTTGATTTACAGTGAGTTGAACTTTTTGTCATTGGAAAGACTTGCCAGTGAGAGCTGACTTTCAATCATACTTGTGAAACAGACACATCATTCTAGTTTAATACATTTCAGGTTGCTAAAAGCAGAATGAGTATTGCTACCTAAACATCGCCAGCAATAGACTATTTACTTAGCCCAGCACCATGCCACCTATTTACAAATAGAAATAGCCTTAACATTCATTCTTTGCCAGCCTGTAGGAGAAATGGTTTGATAGTTTGTAGGTTCTTTTAGTTGGTTAGTTTTTGTTTGTAGGCTTGCGTGTAGGGGGGAAAACTAGGTAAGCGAAATCAAATAAATGAATTTTGTGTTTGAAAGTGGTGAGGTCTGTAGTTGTCACCTTTTGTCAGGGGTGAGTTCCATAGAGTGGGTCTCAATCCTGCAAAATTTCTCTTTCACATTTAGGAATCTCCCTTACTGGCTGATGGTTTCATTGTTCAGCGAAACTCAACCTGTCACGAGAGAGCATGGTTGTGTTGGGAGAGGTCTTGGGCGTGGATTTGTTCTGATCTCATTTACATAAGTTTGTCTCTGCTGAGGGTGGAGCAAAGATGGGGTTTCAGTATCCTGGTAGCATTTCAATCTTTTATTGGTTGCCTAGATACCACGGTGATTGTTGCATTAGAAATGTGTATGTCACCCCACTTCTTAGACTTTGGTGTAATTGGACACTTTACATCAGCAATTGGTTTATAAGCTATTGTGCTCTCAACAACCAGTTCCCAGCGCAAAAGGATTAAGCTGAGTCCAAGAACAGTTCTCTTGCTTTTCTTTGTATGATCACAGGAAATGCTGCAGATGGCTTTTGTTACTCAGCAGCCACCCACTTAAAACATGCAACTCCTCAACTGGCCTATCTCCAGAGGGACTGATGTATTTAGTTCTGAGGCAGTTATGTTTGACCTTCTTTGAGCGGATATTTAAAGGGAGGTGAAAACTTGACGGAATTTAAAAGACTCCATTTGAGAACAGTGTATTCCTCTAAAGAAAGGCGGAAACAAACTTATGTTGTCATGTATAGCTCTCTTGTTTGCCTGCTTATTTTCAGCCCTGTACATTTTTAACCAGAAATCCCCCCTGAAAGCTCCCTAAATTGAGGATGTGCCTTCCAGCAGCTATATGTGGAGAAGAATAACATACAGAAGTGAGCTAGTTCCAAGCACTCAATCAAAATTACATTTGATAGCCCCACTCGTACCATGCTTCACAGAATATGGGGCAGCAGTATTCAAACCTCCCACTTACAAGGATGTGAATCACTGTTATGATGTATGAATAAGGCTACAAGTCTGTCACGGAAGTCATGGCTTCCTGGGCCAGCAGCCGCAGTTTAGATGTGTGGGAGGGGGCTCAGGGCTAGGGGCAAGGGTTTGGAGGATGCGGGGGCGGGGTGCGATTACCTGGGGTGGGGCTCCCCTGCAGCTCCTAGGCGATAGAGGAGCGCGGGGAGGGGAGGTGGTCTGCATGCTGCCCACTGCTGGCACCCACGGGCCCCGCCCCTGCAGCTCCCATTGGCTGTGGTTCCTGGACAATGGGACCTGCGGCATCCGGCGCTTGTGGCGGGAGCAGCAGAGGAGCTCCTGCCTGGGCCCCTGTCTCCGCTGCCTAGGAGCTGCAGGGACACGGAGCCGTTTAGGAAACCTCCACCAGACTCTCCCCTCCCCCAGTACAAGCGGGGTCCTGGATCACCTCCCCCAGCACCCGCGGCGCCCCTGGGGCGTGCACACCCCAGAGCAACCCCACCCAAGTTTTACTTAGGGCAGGTATTTTTAGTAAAAGTCATGGACCGGTCATGGGCCTGTGAATTTTTGTTTACGGCCCGTGACCGGTCCATGACTTTTACACAAAATACCAGTGTCTAAAAGGTAGCCTTATATATTAATAAGACTCTTTAGGCAGGTCAGACAGAATTGCTTAGATGATGATGATGATCTGACTACTTTGTGGAACCAGTTGGTTTCAAAGGGGATGGCGAAAGTTATAAAAGTGAATGTGTTTACTGGGTAACAGCTGGTTGGAAGTCAGACTGCTTTGGTGTTTGTACTGGAAGCCACAAGCATCCTAGCTTAAGCTTTACTTTTCTGAATCTGACATGCCGTGCAAGGTGCTCAGAATAAACAACTCCGCTGGCTCCCATTCTGTCTAGGAAGAGACATTTCTGTTTTTTTAAATATCTCCACAGACTTGCTCCATCCTGTGTCATAAACCTTTCATGTCATTACTCCCAACCACCTCTGTTAATCTAGCCCTGCCCATCTCTCCATACAGTCTTACCACTGTTGTAGAGAGAAGCCTTTCCCCCTTCAGTTTGTGCCATTTGGAACAGCCCTTAGGTTTGTTCTGCCTCATCAGCTGCCCACCTTCAATTTTCAGCTGAAAACTTGTCCCTTTTCCTTTTACATTATAGTTTTTCTCACTCGGCTATCTAACTCCATAATTTTATTATTTGCTATAGAAGACGCAGAGTTCAAATGCAAATTGTTTAAGTTGGAATTCTGATCTTGATCCGGTCAAAACTTCTCCAGCATTATTATTTTATGTGTATTACTGTAACACAAAGACCCCAGCAAGGTCAGATCTCCGTTGTGTTAGACACTGAACAGACGTGGAAGCATGGTTACAGCCAAATTTTTCAAAAGTGACTAGAGATTTTGGAATCCCAACTTGACATCTGAAGTAAGGTCCCTGACTTAAAGGGAGGGTCCTCAGAACTTCCAGAATAGCAGACTCCTTAAGGTGTTTACAGACTCGACACCCAAAAATTGAGGACCCCAAAATCACTAGTCCCTCTTTAAAACCCTAGCTTTTGACACTGATGTAAGACAACATGCAGAGTATACTCAAACAAATTTGGTTATACAAACGTGTCATCTTATTTGTTTAATGAAGACAGGCGGAGCAGTAGCAATAGTCTGAGCAGAACATCTGTCGAGACCTTATTTATTAGCTGGGAGTGTTCTGTAGGCCTCACAGAAACTTGCAAAATTATATCCATAGTGGAACTGGGAAATTAAACCCTTTTGGTCTGACATGGAACCAGACCCCGTAGACATGGATTTTGGTCCATGGATTAAAATCCCCTAGCCCTCCTTTTTCTTGCAATATTACTGTTTGTGTTTACTGCCTATCTCATAATTTATACTAATACTATAAGCCTTTGAGGATACAATTTATATAAAAAAGAGGGTACAAAATTGCATTTGTAATATTGAGGGTACAGCAATGAAAGCTGAATGTAGAGGGTAAAAGGACAGAGTGAAATGTTTGTTGGCATGGTGTGCTCCTTGAGTCTAGATGTAAATGATCTCTGCATTAGTGTAACGCTTTAATCTAAAAATAATACTTTCTGCATCACTTCTAATATGATCTGATTATAGCAGAATACAGCAGCAGCTGGTCGTCTTTCAGCAAATTAGAGAACTGCCCTTTAACCAGTAGTGTTGGTAGAAATGAGTGTCTGCTTTTTGTATTTGGCTAGTGCACTTCAGCTGCAGTACATTGGTACTTTGTTCTGCAGAAAAAATCATTTTTAGAGCTACTTAACATATCACTCTACTTCTTTTTGTAAGGGCAGAAACTAGTTAAACTGCAAGATGTTTTTAAACAAAAGCAAACTCTTTGGTGATCACTCATTACAATCATCTACTGAATCTTTCCAATGCTTTCTTCGTTTCAGGTGGAAAAGATACCATAACATTCAGTGACCCAACCCTGCCTGTTCTACAGAGGTCAAGATCGCCATTGCTAACATTTGCTGACAAGCCACAACAGAATCAAGCACAGAGGCATGAAGGTAAGCATGTAGGACAGAGATGGGTCGACACTACACGTCTTATCAAATACAGTAAAAGTAAAAGCCAAGGTTTCATGCCAGTATAGCAGAAGGTAAAGATTCTGTGATCACAAAGATTAAGTAAATCAATCACAACCAAAGTGGGGGATCATCACAGTTTGAACAGGCATGGAGGGACTGATAAATGACTGTATAGTGACTTGCACAGTGCTAGAGGTCAGGTTTTAGCAGCTCAAAGGAATTTTGCAACATAGCTGTATGCCATAGTAAAGCAACACATTGTACCTGTGTAAAGCTGGCTCCCTCCTGTTCTCCTCCCCTCCCCCCTTTACAGTGCATGGTAGGAAAGCAGACTATGGAACAAGCTTAGCACTCTCCTGCATTAGACCTGATCTACAGATGAAAGGCTTCCTGATTGTGCCTGGCAAATTGAAATAAACCCCTGCTGTTGAGCAATTGATTCTTCTTTTATATTCATGCATGCATTTTGTTAAAATCCTTTCCCAATCACAGGTTTCAGAGTAGCAGCCGTGTTAGTCTGTATCCGCAAAAAGAAGAACAGGAGTACTTGTGGCACCTTAGATTTGTTAGTCTCTAAGGTGCCACAAGTACTCCTGTTCTTCTTTTTTCCCAATCACAGGCTCTAAGATCTTTCCTTAAAAGTCCAGCTCAGCTCTGTTTTATACAAAGAGCAGGCTAATATTTTAATGAAAACACGACTTTTCTTTAGTTTTTCTTGGTGGACAGGGAATAGATTTTGAGACTTGCCTATCAGCATTTGGATAAGCTATTTAATGGCTATAAAATTTTTGGCATGCCCAGATCTTATTCAGTCAGCCATGAAGCATTGTAAATGCTTTGATATTAATTCCTCAAATTAAATAGATCATGGCTTCATTTTGACTTTATTATCCATGTTATCAGATGATTGACAGCAATTGATCACTTGTAGTCATGATCAGCTGATTTTTACTGTGCTAAAAATAGAAAATTAAATCATATTACCACTCCTTCATTGAATATATATGTAACTTACAAATATTAATTATCATTTTAAATAATCATTGGTTCTAATTAAATCTTTACTCTCTGAAAGTGTTTAGTTGATACCGTTCTATTGACTTTGCCTTGTTATTTGTCACTGTGTGCAGGGCTGGTAGAGCTGCCTAGTATTAAGATTGTGCAACACTTCCCATTATAAGACCCTGCATTCACTTGCATGTAACCTTGCTGAACTCCAGCCATTTGGGTTGAAATTTTCCATGCTGGGTGTCTGTCTCAGACGGAATTGTTTTTTAGGGGTTTTTTTTTGTTTTTGTTTGTTAAATTTCAGCCAAAACAGTTTAGCTGTTCCTGAGAACAAAGATCACCACTCCTCTATTGCAAGCAAACACTTGCAAAACACATCCCCCTCTAGTAGTCCACAGTGAGGATGACAATCTACCACTGAAAAAAGAACAGGAGCACTTGTGGCACCTTAGAGACTAACAAATGTATTAGAGCATAAGCTTTCGTGGACTACAGCCCACTTCTTCGGATGCATATAGTAGTCCACGAAAGCTTAT